AACGCATCTATTTGCTTAGCTTTTGAACCAGACTGCATATCTCACAAAAAATTATTATTTGCGCAATACAAACTATTAGCTTTACGGTCGTGTGTACACATATATATTTGTCTTTCGTTTTAATTTCAAAAGCCTCAAATTGTATTTCATTGGATTAGAGAAACTGAAGTTGATTAAAGAAATTTGCAGCACTGCACTAATAGTATAATATATTTCTTTTACTCGTAGGATTTCTTTTCTGCCCAGAAATCGGTCGCGATTTGTATTACCCTCTTACTTATTTAAGTATTATAGTCTAAAACCCTTGAGATTCTTGTCCCAATGTTGTACGTCATATTTTTTAGAGCTGAATTGTTTAATTCCGTCTTGCTGTTTCTAAAATTGGACGCTGATACGCCTGGAGAGATTTCATCCTTTTTTTTGATGGCTCTCCGCATATGTCATTAGTTTGTCAGTACTGATTATTCAAGCTAGATGATTGCCCCTAATGCCCTAATCTGCCTACTCTTGTTTCACTGTAGATATTTTCGTTACAGTTTCTATAACAAAAAGAAACGCCAAGCTTGGATCTCTTCACAGCTGGCTAGACTTTTAGCTTTCGTATTAATATTTGTATGGCCAGCAAGGTAACTTTTTTTCTTTTGAACATGTATAAATTAAATCAAAATATTTTAAATCTTTTCTTCCGACACACACATCTTTTTCTTCATACCAGTTCATTTTACTTTACAGAAAGTTCTTGTCTCATTCCTCAGTTACGAATTCCAAAGTAGTAAAGAAACGTTGTGATTACGATTACGACTAACCGCAATTTAGTCAACCGCAATTTAGTCAAACGCATCCTAGTAACCCAAATATAGTCACATTAGTATACATTGTCACTAAGTTGTTATATACGTTGTTTATTGACGGGGACGGTTTTTGGCGACCCAAAATCACATAAGCTAGTGACGGTGAACCCATATCCATTGAGAATTATCGGCTATAATCAACGATATATGAAGTAATTTGAATCAAGTAATTTAAACAGCGATAAGTAATAAATAAAAAATGTTACTCGTTGGTTCCTAAAAGTTGTGGTATTGTTAAACCCACCAAAACATATCATAGAGTTGAGATCTGAACAGGTTACAAGCTCCATTGCAGCACGCACATTATTATTTTCAGAAATTTTGTTAGTTGCGTTCCTCAATAAATTTTCTTAATAAATTTTAGTAAATACCAAAAAATTCTAAGAGTAATTAATAACTATAAGAAGAAAGTGTAATGCTAATTAAGCTTGTAAATGTCTATTTCCTCATAAAGGATAAGAATGTACATAATAACTTAATTACAAATTCACTACACCTATAAGATTCTCTTCCTTACTCCATTAACTTCAAGACACGTCTACGCCAATAGTTCTAACTTCTGCGACAACTGCTTTTTTTGGACTATATATTATCGAAGTAAAATTATTTTTAGGTCTGACTGGCAACGTAGATTTTTTTCTAACGGAAGTAACGTTAAGTAAAATCTTTAATCCGTTTAAGTTTCGTTCCGTTTTACTTTCCGCGTTTATAAAGACATTGCATACCGACTGGCTATTTTCGATAAGTATGTGTCACTTTTTGAATTTGAATTAAGTATATATATATATATATATATTAAGGCAATAGATTTTAACAAACACAATAATCACGACAATTCCATGTAAAAATCGTATAATAAAACCATGGATTACAATAGGTATTCTTCGTTGCATAAGAAATAGAAACGATATGCAGAAAAAACTGAAACTTGACCCAAAAACCCTAATCCTAAAAATAACATATAGATGCTATTGAAATTACTGTAATGCTTTGATTAAAAACTTAAAACGGTATTACGAAATAGATCAACTAATTAAAATAAAAAAAATCCCTGGTTACTTTGAAAATCTATAAATGACATCACGCATCCTAAAGTAAATAAATCAAATAATATAGGACTCCTTAACTGTAAATCAACGCCTAAAGAATCTGTAAATTACATAAACGCCTATTTTGAAAATATTGGCAAATCCCTAGTTGACAATATTTTAAAGCATCAAACAAATTGGGGTAAACTGTCTGATAATTCTAGTGATTTAAACCCACCTTCTTCCTTTGTCTTATTAGAAACTGACCCGGATGAGGTTTATGAAATTCTAATGGGATTAAAATCGGACAGTGCTGCGGGCTGGGCGAAATTTCTGAAACATGTTGGCAAAGAAATAGCCCCCGTCACTGCTAACTTAGCTAACCTCTGCATAAGACAGGATATTTTTCCCTACTGCGCTCAAACATGCTATCGTCACTCCGATTTATAAAAGTGGAGATAGAGACGAAGGAAGTTACTACAGACCCATAACAGTGCTTCCAGTTATTTCAAAAATATTAGAAAAAATTATAAATAGCAGATTAATTAGCTTCCTTAACAAATATCAACTAATATCTAACTCACAATTTGACTTTAGACTAGGGATTTCAACAGATGACGCTATAGGTGTATTAACGTCTCACATTACTGAAAATGTCGATAAAAATAAAAAGTGCATTACAGTTTTTTTTATCTTCAGAAGGCTTTCGATACCGTCTCTCTCCCCATCATTATGTGCAGATTGGAATCAGTGGGTATCAGGGGTACCCCCAAGCTTTGCTGTGTGATTATTTGAGTGACCGTAAATAGAGTGTTAGGGTTGGTGACTGTATTAACTATCTAGCAGACATAACATATGGTGTCCCCCCCGGGGAAGTGTGTTGGGATCAACTCTCTTTTTAATTTATATCAACAACCTTTGTAACTTGGATATTCGTAATGGTAAATTATTTTCTATTTATATGCTGACGACACCGCTGTAGTTTTCTTTGGTTCAACATGGGACGAAGTACACGGCTTTGCTCAAGAATCTCTGTCTGGCCCGAATACCTCGTTGGTTAGATAAAAATTTACTGACTCTAAACGCCTCTAAGACCAATTATATATGTTTCACAAATTATAACAGTACTCAGCCAAATACGAACTTTCAAATAACACACACACACACACACACACACACACACACACACACACACATACACACACTCACACACACTCACACACACTCACACACACAAACACTCACACACACACACACACACACACACACACACAATTATAAACTTAACAAATTTTTTAAATTAAGATCGATACCTCCTACGTATAATATCGTAACCAACAAATATGCGAAAATTACTTTTATATATTTTTGAATACTTTATAACACCCTAAGTCATATAAACTATAAAAAAATGTTTATATTTACAATGTTACCGGAGATATTAAGACCGTAATTTATCGTATGTTCATTTAGATCGAAGAAACGTATCGTATGGTGTAGTACCCACACTGTACGCGGGGGCGGGTGGGTCGCGAGCCACGGCAAGTGTCTAGTAACTAGCAGTAGCGACAGATTACGCGGGGGTGGAGCACGTCCGCTGCCGTTGGTGCCATTATTCAAAAAACTTGCATTTATTTATGTATTTTATGTGCAGTGACAGCTATAATATTCAAGTATAACATCTAGGTCTTAAAGACGTTGTGTCTGATTCGCAAAATATGGTGGCCGTTAATAATTGAAATCGCGAAGATTGTGTGCATTGCCGCGAACCTATGGCTGATGATTCTATTCGGAAAGAAGGTGAATATTAAGTTTTAATACTAAATAAACAAAAAATAAATATAAAATAACTATTACTTATTGTACCGTGCAGTACCCGCAGTAAAATATCGTAAGTAGAACTTACTATACTGCCGTCCGTAAGCAATAATGCCGTTATCTCGCATCTGGTCGATTTTCATTTTTTGATGTCACCATAACCAGAAAAAAAATCTCTATCTTTCTGTCTAAGGAGTATATTTCTACTATTTATGGATCTCGAGATAGAAAAAAGAAAAACACCGTTAAGTTGCCTAGTTTGATATGTTTCCTACGCTAAAACGCAGGTAAGCAACATTACTAAACTAAAAAGTGACTAAGGGGTGATAATTTACCTTTTTCCTAGAGTTTTTCCTATCAGTTGCATAACTAAATTGCCGTTAATAGAATTACCTACTCTATTATGAGGTTAAAGTACTTTAACGGTTTTATAGTTCTACTTTGTTTCAAATTACTGTGTACTAAATCAAACACTAAAAAGCCGTTAAATGAAAATACTAGACAAAAATGTCGCTAATGTCACTTAACGGCATTTATGCTTAGTACTTAGACGTGTTTTTGTTAAGAGATTTTGTATTAAATACGCCAATAACGGCATTATCAATATGAAATATAAATATTTTGCTTATCACGTCAATCACATAAATGCAGGTATCGCTCATACTACACTAAAACGCGGTTATGTACAGTGAATCCCTCGCATTCGATCCGCCTCCCGAGTCTCTCTCGATTTATGAAGCAGTTCACCACTAAAGTTTAACGGGAAGGACGTGTCACGCACCGCGGATTCCCGCCTAATATTACGATGGCTGACAAATACTCAAGGTAAAACATTATTTAATTACGGTTATTATTTTTGCCGGTTTAGTAAACAATACAGATTTGATAAATATTAATTGTATGTTGGTCCAAAAATTTTCGGTCTCGTCACACAAAGAACTTTTTTTTGCATCATTTAGAATCTGTGATGTATTAAAAATATTAATTTAAATAATATGAAGTAAATTACACTATTAATCTATATAAATGCTTTCGGTAACTAACACATTTTACTGCATAAGTATCAATACTATATTGTTCAAAATAGCTTCGCAAATAACCAAATATTTTTTATTTAAATAAAAAGATAAAATGGTTACATTTCGTTGACCTTATTAACCAATTATTTTGATTTATAAATAAATACTATTTATTGAAGATACTGTAGAAGCCAGTGTATATTAGAAGATAACGTGAACCTAAATTTTAATTAACTTGTTACAGGCACACTGCTATTTCACAAAGATCCAAAAACATTTTAAACATGATTAAGAATAAAGATAGTAAAGACATCAAAATTGACCTTGAGACCTTTAGCAGAAGGAATAAAAGTCCTTATCCTGAGCTACAGCATTTTGATACATTATACTATAATAGGCCTTATTCGATGACGTCTAATGTTTTTGAAAAGTTTTGTGATACGCAAATTACTTATAATTCACATGTGCATTCATCGATCCTGAATAATTTGAATCAAGATTTTAAAACTAGTCATGCTCAGAGCCATGATGCTTTACCAAATTCAGATCACGTGCAAATCGACTTAACCTGCAACGAAGTGATGCCGTTAGAAGAACTCTCATTTAATATAACTGAACAAAATGATATTAGTTCATCAACGTACGTGATGCAATGTGGTTTTGATTCCGACGACTCTGTGCGTGATAAAGACTATCTCCCATCTGATTCAAGTAGCGATTCAAGTGACGATTTTGAATCAATTAAATCGAGTAACCAAAAGTCCCATGTGTTACAAACAAACGGAAGTTCTAAAAAAAAGGATTCACAGTCCATATTTCCACCAACTGTGGTCACGAAGAGCTTAACTTCAGACGTTCTTGACACTGTTCCTTTTATTCATGAAAGAAAAAAGTTGCAGAATAAACGCAGAAGCTCAATTAATTTTCCTTGTGCTGATAAAGATATTGCCGCGTCACTACTTCCTTGCTATCGTAGGAACACCATTGATGTTGGTGCGTATCAAACATTGTATCAAGTCAATGGACCTGTTGCAGTCACTTTGGAACCTGAAACATCACAACCAAAACAAAAACGTAAAAAATATGACACTCCCTTATTTCAGCGAAAAATAGATGCCAAAAATAAAATAAAGTTAGAACATAATGTTAAAATGGGGTGTAACGAAACCTGCCTAAAAAAATTTACTTCCAAATTTAGTCAAGTCGAGCGAGAAGCAATCAATAAAATGTATTGGGACATGTCCTGGCGAGAAAAGCATTTATTCGTGAATGCACACACTTCAGTAGCAGTTCCAAAGAGAAAAATGACCAGTGACCCGAAGAGGAAACCAAGAAGGGCATTTACATTTAAGCAACTAGACGACACCAGAGTTGAGGTATGCAAAACCTTTTTTTTGACTACTTTAGGTTATGTTAAAACAAATGACAGGATCTTGCATAGCTCTTTTATTGATCCCCAATTTACTGATAAAAGAGGAAAGCACCAGAAAACACTTGCTTATGATCGTAATTTGTTGACTCAGCACGTTGAATCGTTTCAACCATCAGAACCCCACTACAGGCGTGAACATGCTCCACTGCGACGATATTTGTCAAGTGATATTAGTGTAACTAACATGCATAGACATTTCTGTAAAAAATATCCAGATAAGATCGTTTCGTATGAACTATATAGGCAACACGTAAAAAAAATGAATATTTCTTTTACTCGTTTGGGTAATGAAGAGTGCGAAATGTGTGAAGCTTACACTTTGCATAAAAAAGAAATGTCACATGATGTCGGTAACCAGATTGTCTTAGACTGTACTGTATGTGTGGAGTGGGCCCAGCATCATCAAAAATATAAAAAAGCAAGGGAGCTTTACAATGAACACAAAAACTTACCACAAAATAATACCCAAATATATTACAGCGCAGACCTAGAAAAAGTAATTATGTTGCCCAGATTAGATACTTTTAAAGCTGCAATTTTTTGCCAACGCCTTACGGCATTCAATCAGGCATCACTAGGCAAAATTAATTCCTCTTTAAAGCCATTAACAGTCATATGGCATAATGGTATTGCAGGCAGAAAACAAGAGGACATCATGACGGCCTTCTACCATTTTCTTTTATGTAACCGAGACGTTACTAATGTGAATATATGGCTCGATAACTGCAGTGCTCAAAATAAAAATTGGTTATTATACTCGTTACTTGTCCATTTAGTCAACTGTGAAATCATTTCCACCGAACAAATAACACTGCATTATTTTGAACCAGGGCACACGTTTATGAGTGCTGATCAAGTGCACCATCAAGTTGAGTTGGCCATGAAGAAAAAAGTAAAACTTTATGATTTTACGGACTTTGAAGAAGCAGTAGCTTCAATTAACAAATCAAAAGTCATTGTGAAATCTTTGTCACCTGCACATTTTATTAATATACCAAATTTTATATCCGATAGAAGAGTTCAAAACTCGTATCCAAGAGCTTACTTAAAAAACATGTGTCAAGTATGTTTTACACGTAAGAATTATGACCTAATGTACAAGAATGATTTTGATGACGAATATAAAACATTGAGATTTATGAATAACAAGTATTTAAAGAATCCCAATCTTTTAAAAGTTGAATTCCGCTCGAAGCCAAAAGGAATAGATTCTACAAGAAAAAATGACATTATTGAAAAACTATCCAGCATAATTCCCATTCATAAACAGATATTCTGGAAAAATTTGCCAGTAAAGGACCATGAGGAGGCATAGTGGCATGGTCATGGTCTTTTGATATTTATTTATTTTTTGATATTTTAGTAATAAGACAAAACTTGATGCTCGTAAGACTGAAACAATAACTTTTAAAACTGCATAAAAATAATAATTACCTCACTTAGTACTACGTTAGTTGCTTAATAAATAATTACATTGTTACAACTTTTATGTACCTGCAATAAAGTAAGTTCTATTTCTTATAAAAAAATAAATAGTTATAATTTAAAGTAAAAATAAGTATTTTATGTTACTCACCGTCTAACTCAGCATCAACTATAAATGACGATTGATATACGTTTTATAATAATTATGATGAAGGTTTTTTGTATTTTAGTTATATGTAAGAAGATCTCATATGCAATGAGAAGTACCTAGTAAGTCATCACAAAGTGATTTTATAAAAAAATATTTTTAATTGACAGAGAGCGGGAAGATTCTATTTGCTCAAGTATTTTATTACGTACCAAAACGTAAATATAATTGTTAATTACTGTCTCTTATTTATTTCTAAGATTTTAAAATTTGCTTTTAAAAGATATTTTTGAAATATTTTTAGTTGTTTATAAGATAACATAATATAAGGTGAAGATTGTTTTTATGTTTTCTATAGTTATTTACTAAGATCTCATTTTCAATTATTGTAAGTAAGTCCTCACAAAGTGATTTTGTTAAAGTTAAAGAAGACTGCGTCATTAAATGATTGATTTATATTTTATAATAAGCTCTTTTATTTCTGTAGGTAACTACCACTTTATTTGATTTCCTCAACTATCGTGTTGCAGTTTCAAAACTAAAACGCCGTTACATTTTAATGTTTTGTAATTAGCGGCGTTTAAGCCATGTAATCAACCTAAAAAATAAATGCAGGAAAAATATCCCTATAAATCACTAGTCTTAAATGCGGCTACGTGGTTTTAGCTGCATTTTGGTTTTGTATAGTGTTTTATCTCGGAGTTATAATGCTAAGCTATAACAACGTTAAAGTATTTAGTGGCATTACAGTTTAGTAATGAAGAGATGTTTTTAAGAATTTGTCAATGTCAATAAAATTAAATGAAAATCAAACACTAAAGTGCCGTTAAGGTAGGCTTAGCGGCATTATAGTCGTGGTTACATAAGCTGTAAATTGTAAAAACAGTAGACTAAAATGCAAAAACCTGTTTTTATTAAGGTTAAATCATTATTAAACAAGTAAAAGTATGGCTTTTTGAAAGCGCAAAACTAGATCTACTTTTTGATATCGAAAACTCTCTCATATAAGTTATAGTTTTGAAACGGCATCCATTTTTAATTTTTTCGCGGTTTTTTGTCCATAACTTTGAAATATGGTTTTGTTAGATAGCGGCATTATAGCTTGCGGACGGCAGTATAGTCTACTTTACATTTAATTATTTTTAAACTATCGTAAGTAAAACTTACGTCACATAACTAGGGAAAATTATAAAAAAAAACGAATAGTATTTTGTACTTACGATATTTCATATCGGAGTTACTTTTGGAAAATCTATCTTATGATATTTTACTCTGATATGAAAAATAACTTACAACAGTATACTTTTAGAAAAAAGATAAAATAATAAATTAGATTGTTTTTTTTTACAGATTCGACGCTTCCTTCTGATGCAGATATTTCTGAAATAAATCAAGTGATGGATTTGTTATCGGATTCCGAGGAAATAATATGTCAAAGTCGTAATAATTCACTTATCACCAAACATAGTAAGTAACAGTAATAAGCAAACCGCAATGATCTGTTAGTTGTAAAAAATTTAATACCAGCTTTAACTTTTTTATTTCTATCATTTAAAAACGCTAGTTAATTTAAAATGTTTAACTATCATAAATGTCTTTCATGGTCAGTGACATTAGAATGATATTATTTATCGGGATATTTATCATTTAATATTATATTGATTTTTTCTCGATATTTTGGTACTTGCAACAGTATCGAAATATCGCCATACAATATTAATCTAATGTTTTATTACTGACGTGTTCTTTTGCACGATAGTTAAAAATAGTCTTGACATAATGATTTCTTATATTTAAGCGAACACTATACATTAATTAAAACTACTTTTACGGACTTTATCGCGCTTTATTTATATTAATTTTAATACCCGACGTTTCGGGTGCTTTCCAGCACCCATGGTCACGGGGGACTGAGGTAACTGACGTCCCGATGTCAAAGTTAACTCGGAGTAACTTCAGCTTTTTTAATTATTGTCTTTGGTCCGATCTACGCAGAATGAATTAACTGTATTTTGAAGTCTTGCAGTGGTATGCTTGGGTTTAGTTTTAATTTTATTAATTATAGTGAGTGAGTGAAGCCGGCCACAGTCAAGCGTGTGCCTGCTATACTAACATATGTCAGAGGTGTCACAGACAAGATTGGCTACATCTTGAAGCGAGCTTCTATTAGAACATTCTACAAGCCGCCGAAGAAGATTAGTCAGTTCTTACCATCCGTCAAGTGTCATATTCCTCTACAAGATGCAGGAGTGTACAAGCTTGATTGTGATGTGGTCTCTCATATATAGGGCAAACAAAGAGATCAATTAGAACCCGCGTAAAAGAACACATAGCTGACGTGAAGCATCAACGTTCCGGGAAGTCTGCAGTTTGCGATCATATTCTAGATGGCCCCAACCATTACATCAGATTTGATAGACCACAAATCCTCGCGAAAGAACATCGATTCTTACCAAAGACGATACGTGAGGCTATTGAAATTAAAAAACATCCTAATTTCAGTACCCAGATGGTCAAAATTAAAACTAAACCCAAGAATACCACTGCAAGACTTCAAAATACAGTTAGTTCAATCTGCGTAGATCGGACCAAAGACAATAATTAAAAAGCTGAAGGCACTCTGGGTTAACTCTGACATCGGGACGTCAGTCACCTCAGTCCCCCGTGACCATAGGTGCTGGAAAGCACCCGAAATGTCGGGTATTAAAATTAATATAAATAAAGCGCGATAAAATCCGAAAAAGTAGTTATAATCAATAGTCTTGACATATTTTTTCAATTTCAGGTTTTTCTGACGATTCTCCGACTGAAGAAAATATCACACAACATCAATCTCCCGATTGTAGCTTAAATCATCTAGAATTTGATTGTGATAACCATTTCTGCCACTTGTTTGTTGAAAAGGATATTTTACCTCTACAGTCAGTTGATTCCAATATTACCGACTTATCATATACCTCTCAAGCAAACACGCCTCTCTCTTCTTACTCAGAAGCAACACCACAAACTTCTAGAAAATGGGTTTTAAAACCAAGGAAAGATAAGGGAAATATCAGACGTCGACATGTTATGCAATGGAAGGACAACAAAAGAAAAATTCTAAGAAACTTGGGCAAAGGAGTATACGCGAACATTGCACATGAGTAAAAGTAGTTTTAATCATGTGCAATCTTCGCGTAAATATAAGAAATCATTATATTTAAATGTGTGTTAGAAAATGTTTCTGAATACTTTTTCAATTAGTGAACAATTTGTATACACATCCCTGGAAAAAACAATATAAGTGATTTGATAAAAGCCGACATGCGAGGACGTCATCTTAACCATCGTAAAGTAATAACAGAGGATATTATTAAAAGTGTATGCGATCACATAATATCACTTCAGCCTGTAGAGTCCCATTACACTCGCAGTAGAAGCAATAAACTTTACTTGGAGACCTGAATTTTCATCGCTTATTTTATTTATATAATGAGTGGTTTGACACACTCCCATACTCTTCAAAAGCTAGTACGGAACGGCAATATCGCGACATCGCTAACGAACATTTTAAGATAAGTTTCCACTTGCCAAAAAAATATCAATGTGACACATGCCACCTGTCTATTCCTACACTATCACAAACAGAATTACACGAAGAACATATTAAAAATAAATGTAAATTGTCGTAAATACAATATACTATACTTTTTGTTTTATGAAACTCAACGTAAATTATATTAAGTACTACCTACAATAAACTACGACATTTGGTTCCCAAAGAAAAGTATCGTAAGTGACTTTTTTTAGCTATTCTGGTAATAATTTTTAATATTCTGTCTAAAAATATAATTTAGTTCATAATTGTCTACCTACATGCCGAGTTTGGTTCTTGAACGACAGAAATTGACTAAGTGAGCATCATAAAATTACTTACTCATCTTAAAATCGCTGTAATGTATAGTACATATAGTGCAGTTACGATATTATACGTAGGAGGTGTCGAAATGTTAATTAATTGCTTTTGCGCTTACTTAAGTTAGCACTTAACTATTTACTATAATGCTTAACTTTGACACCGTTTAATCCTAATTGTTGATATTATCTTGCTGTAGGTAATACTAAATATAACACAATGTATTTTTTGTAATCTTGGGAAGGAGCGGAGTCTCCTAACACAAGTATCATACTTAAAGGGAGATTCCGGCCATTAGTCATGTTATTATTTAAAAGATACTGAATAAAAGATTTTTCATTTATTTTTCACATAAAAAAAGAAATTAATAAACGTGTTATATATTTATTTAAGTTTTTATAAACTTAGTTCAATACAAATCATCAATATTATTTAATATATATTTCATTGATAATTACTCATTAAAATGAATATTTTTCAAAAATTATAAATAAAGAATAAAAAAAATTAAGAAATAAAGGAAATAATACTTATTATTTAATAATAATAACAAGTTCTACTTCAACAGCGTAAAGGTTACATGCATTCATTTTTTATTTCTTTTGAAGCGTGTAGCTTATAAAGTTCTGGCAAATGAATATAAAAGGATATGTTTTGTTGGAGAGGGATTTAAAGTTTCAGTTCAATGGAGAAAGGAAACTGTTAAAGTTTCCTTTCTCCATTATCCATATTGGTAAAGTCAATAGCTTAAATTCGTTATAGTTAATTGAATTCCATTTCAACGAAGTCATCTGCCTGAGTCGTTAAATGAAACAAAATAAAGCCCGCTGGCTTACGAGTTATAATTTCCGACTGTAGGTTTAACTTATTGGATTAGCTTACTAGCGCCGAATTTGGGTCGGTCCGTGTTAAACTCGATAGATGCATTGATTATGAGTGATCAGTGTATTAAATAGTTTTAATTTAAAATGGGAACCATTTTTACTACGTTTCTTGTCCTGAGCGATGTTACAATCATTAAGCGGTCGCATGCGACCGCCGCCATATTCCGTTAAACTTCGAGCCGTTCCGTTAAACCACCCACAGCACTTTAAACCATAAAATATTATATTTAGAGACTACTTTTATATGAAGAAGTTTGACAGTATAGAATCAATACAAAATTTCCTATCCTGTAGTTAAAAAAAAGTCACTTACTCAATAAATTTTCATTTATAATATAATGTCAATTTGCGTTTTTTGTGTGGTGTTGTGCTTTGTTGTGTTGATTTTTGATTTTTTTTATTCGTTAGGTCTGTTTTCAAGTGGTTTTACTATAAATTATCCCAAGATATTTCGTAGAATTTTTTACATTTTTAGATAGCTTAGATTCTTGTTTATTGGTTTTATTCGATTGACCAATTATATCGTGAAATCAAGCCGACAAAATAGTTCGCTCATGTATAAGAAGCGTATTGTTTTGATAGAAATATTAGGTTTGATATAAAGCTGAAAATATGTTTATCAATTAGTAAATTGTCGTTTACAGAATGATAAAATGTGATCTGGTTGTAGAGTAAATACATTTATTGTATATGGTAGTATCAGCGACGCCATTTTTTGAACGATGCGGGTAATGTCAATCGTTTTAGCTGAGAATTTGGGGAAGTTAGTTTAAAATTGAATAGACAGACAAGAAAGTGAGTTAATATTGCATTGTCGTCCAGTTCTGAACTATATTTAAATTTTAAAGGCTAGCTCATCGAAAAGTTAGGAACAAACGGGCAAGAAATTGAGTTATTACAAACTTGATAAAATAATTGTAGTTTGATTACGGTCATTGATAGTGTCTGGTAAATATTTATGAGGTCGAGAAACTGGTTTTAAGTCTAATTTTCAAAATTACGCAAAGCGATAAAACTCCTTTTCTGCCTAGTTGACTGTTACGCGATCGGTAGTCTCCATTCTTATAATAAGAAATATATTATTCGTGGTATTTTAAAACCGTGTATAATATTACCCCACAGCGGTGTAATAATATTTATTACCACATATCATCCCGTGGGTGTCGCGTATCAGCGTCTTCCTCATAAGGACTAAAAATAAAAAGTGCCAACACGTTTGCCAAGCGTGGCAACTATGGCAATATCCCCCTATGAGGCATTCAACGGGTAAGCCTATGTTCAGCAGTGGAATTAATTAAGCTGTAACGGTAACGGTGTTTTAAATCGGCCATATTGGAATGCAGTGAGTAGTGCAGTATATAAGCGGTTGGCTCGATTACCGTAGTATGCGTCCTCCTTTCTGCCAAGGAGGGTCGCGTTCGTATACGGCTTAGTGATCTCTAGTCAGATCGTTAAGCCAATTCCTAAAAGGCGGTGTTTAGTGGGTAAAAGTCTCCACATAACCACGCAGCCAGCTGCGTGGTATGCTATGAGCATTCACCGCCTCCCTCCCCCGCTTTCCGGAGGGTTGCCCATATTGCTTCGGGCGCAAAAAAAAATTACCGTAGTGTTAATATGACCTACTGACTAGTTGTTCCCGGTCTAGGTGTTTGTTCAATAAAAATGTATGTATCTAGGTATTCAATACACCGTCTCGATACAGGAGAATTTGCTAGTACAACCTTCGTATTAAAGGAATCTTTATTTAATAATTCATGCGTGTGTTAGTGATCGCGTAACTTTTGGACGACTTGGCTTATTGAGTTCATTCACACTTTATAATTTTTTTTCAAGACGATGGTTCCTATCTATGCCAGAATCTGGTAAAAAGCGCTGTAGTCATGTTATTAACGAGTTCTATATATAAATATATAAGTGTGTATGACACACCATAGTCAAGTTAATTAACCAGTTCTGTGTTACGCTATAAAAAGTCATGAATAAATTTGAAGCGAATAGAGATTTTATTTCAATCCTAATTTACTTCATCATTCGGAGCTCTGGATTTAAAATTAACTTGAAGTACCAAAGCTCGAATTAATGAAAATGGAAGCTCGAAATATTCATCTAACATTTTTAAATATTTACTCTTCACTTTACATTAAAAAAAAATCATTTACAATATGAATAACACCACTTTCATATTTTGTACAGCCTCCTGTTCCAGTAATTATTTAATGAGAAAGAGGACAGAAAGAAAGGCCTTTAATCAATAGAACTCTACACATCACAAAAATAAAATAATAAACAGTTAAAAGTATGGTATATTTAAATTAAAAGTGATGGGGCGTGTATAGAGCCAGTGAAAAGACTCAGCGTAATGCTGCAGGGTAATCTACAGCGCAGCAATCTAAATTCTGTCATAACCGCAGATACACGCACTATCCGCCTGTATTACATATGATATATATATATATATATATATAATGCTCATTGATGCTGGAAGAAACATCTGTTGTAGGCTCAAGCTTGAGCTTTTTCGAAGTGTAATACATGATTTTTATAGTGTGATTTAAAATTATTCGTTGAAATACACTCACAACTATGCGGAAGAACGTCGTTACAGCACCGAGTAGCTATATATTTAAAGCTACACCTGAAAGCTGCAGAACAGTAAGTTGGATTGAAAAGCGCGTTTGTACAAGGCCTAATGGTGTTTGTGAATTTCTCCATATAAGTTTATCATATAAAAATATAAGATCGACTTAGTTTTGACAACATCAAATAGTAGATGAGCGAGGTATAGTTTCTGTCACGCTTTCATTTCCAAAATACCTGCTTCATTGAAAAAAGGTGTTATATGGGACCGTATTGGTATTGAGAAGCAGTATCATGGACATTGAAAGATGTATGAGACGTTGTAAATTTACCAAAATACATGGTCTATGCATAGTAATGTAGTGGTTTAATTTTGAAAGAACAAGAGAATCACACAGTCTAATTCCTAATATCAACTAAATGTATTTGCGGATTCTGTTTATCACCTTCAACCTATAAAAGCAGTTACGGACAAGCTCGAGTAAGTGTTTTTCAAAACGTAGTCTGACATCCATTACTAAGCCGAGGTTACGAGCTGCACTTACGCGCTCCAAAGGGACGTTTAACATGATTTTAGTGTTTTGATTCTCTAAAAATTTTGTTTGGTTTTTTAACCCTAAAAGCATGTACTTAGTTTTTAGTGGGCTTAGAATGAGGGAATTTTTCTGTGACCATATTAAAATTCAATTCGAGGATCTGATCCTCACTGATGTTACTATTTCTAGAATAAAATTCCTGTAGGTCATCAGAATACAGGTGCTATTTGCAAAATTGCATGCAATAAGTTATAT